TAGAAGAAGGGCGGCGGGAAGTCGCGACGGGATTGCGGCGGTCGAAACCTTTTTTTCTCTATCCCTTCCTCTAGAACCTGAAACTATAGAAGAAACTGAGCAGAAGAAGTAACTACGGGAGTTTACTTGCGAAGGCATCGACTGGTAGAAAGGTATTCTTTCTTTTCGTAGAAATCCCTAAATTATTAGAGTTAGTGGATTTAGTTAATCGTAGATAGCGGTGCAAACTGTGGTTGAACGGGAAATCTGTTGGATTTATTTTGGCTTTGACCGTTCGGCGGGAGTTACGCTAAATTCTGGTTGAAATCGGCCACCAAACAGTTCCTAAGATGCATTTTTTTGGATAGGGTTTTTGTGAAAAATTTAAAATCAGTGAAAATAGTTTGTTGTCTTTGAAGAGGGAAGAAGAAGGCAAAGAACATTGAGTTATTTATGATTTAGGGAATCTTTGAAAGTTTGATGAGATTTGATAAATTAAATTTGTTTATTTAATGATAATTGATATTTTGAAAAGAAATTTTAAATTTAATGAAGTTTAAATAATGTAGTTAATTGTTGTTTATAAGAAATTATTTTATGGAATTTCACACGACTAACTAAATCACTCTGTTAGTGATCACATTGATTAGAGGCTGTATTTTATCTAATTTGATAAATAAAAAATAATTTTAAGAATTAGTGAATGGTTGCTATATGTTTCTATAAGGAAAAGTTCTTTTTTATATTCTTATCCATTGAATTAATAAAAATGATGTATAATTACTTAAAGGAGTAATTATAAGTGTAATGAAGATAAAGTGGAGATTTTCAAAGAACTTACAAATAGTGGGACATGTCATAATCATAGTATCAAGTCAATGTATTTTATCCTTGGTTGTAAGCATGTTAGTTTTTAATGATAATCATGAACTCTTCCATTGAGGAACTGTTTGATGTTTCCTAAGTTTTCAGTGCAATTATGGCATTTAAATAAAGCCTATTATTATAAACATTGCTTAGGTCGTGCGATTTAGATATTTGAACATTCAATTATTTTTCATTTTTTTCTTTTATTATTAACTTGATGGAACTTCCTTTTTCGTTACAAGAGAACCTAAGTTTCATAAGAAACTCTAGCTTGTGTGTTAGGAAATCGAGGTTGAGGGGGAGCGCTTACGTTATCTTTTAATTTGTTATACATCAAGCCTCAAAGAAATACAGAGAGGCTAGCGCACTTTTAAATCTAAGTTATTAATTCCAAGAAAAAAAAAAGAGAAACCTAGGATGCTCTTTAAGAAGTGTTCTCAACTTCTTTCTTACTTAATGCTTTTACTATTGGTCTTCTCGATGGTTACAATATCTTGCAACTCGGTGGTAACATTCCGAACATTGTTACATTTATTATTTTTTTCATTTTGAACAATCAAGTTAAGAATTGTCCGCTAGATATATGTATGCGATAATTATTGCTACAAAACAATTTTTTATTAATTTATCTATGTTGCTATTTTCTGAGCGGCTAGTGCAATTTTTTTCATGGGACTTAATAAAAAACCATTACAATTTCCTATTATATAGCAATGAAAGTTGATGAATATGTTTGGTTTTGACACACTTAATAACTTTTTTATATCTAAAATGTGGCTAAGTATCGCGGATGAAGTACCAATTTGATTCTTTGTGTTATTAAATGAAATAAATGGCGATGATTAGCTTGAGCTTGATGGATTCAGTGTTCTTTTAGATGCAGATGATGATGGAACTAAAACATTATTTGGTGACAAGGGGCTGTGCGAAGCAACCATAGGTAAGGATAAAGATCTACTTGTGTTTGTCGAAGGAAGGACTTTTCTTTCTTCTACATGAGGTGAAGTCAAATTTATAATTCCATTTGATTATTTATGGATGCTTTTGCTGATTCTTCACTTAGTAGAATTTTCCTATTTGGTGAAATTCCTCATGATTGAAGCATTGAAGTAGTAGCTTTTTTACTTATATCATTTAAGTTCATGCTCTTAGAGAACATCTTTGTATACGCCTTCCCGCTTTTCATGGGTGGCCATCCATGTTGATCAATTATCTTTGGGCATATACCTTGTATGATAGTAAAATTTTTTGATTGTTTAGATGTGTTCCTTTCAAGTAGTGGAGCTCTCTTCCTCTCGGATACCGATTTAGTTCTATTTTTCAATATATAATAATGAAGTACTTCTAACGAGGCCATCTTTTTTGCTAACACAAACAAAAGACACGGAATGGAAGGAAGAAGATAAGATCCTCATTGATGGCTAAAACTCATCAGTTGCCCATCAATGATCATCTTGAAGGATTTAGTTTCTCTTCAGTTCCATCACACACAAAGGATGGTGGCATGGAAGGCTTTGAATCAGGTGAAGACAATGTGGGTCTTCATAATGGAGATTAGGGGGTTGAAGAACATTTTATTGAAGTGGTATCGTGCCTCTTTCTCTTTGCAGATTGAGCACGCGTAGAAATTGATGTGTCTGTTATGGTCGATATCCCGATGAAAGATGTAAAAGGATGATTGTTAGCTGATTGTCTAGTTCCTGACTTGTACTTTGAAATTTTTTTTGCTTTATTTTTTGATAGAGTAATGTTTGTTTCTCAATTGTGACCATATCTTCTTTTAAAACATCTTATGTGAATATTATGCTATACTTTAGAGGCTTATAATTGAGCTAATCAATGAACAAAAACTCTTGATTAAAATATTTTAATAGGTTCTTCATATAACTTTCACGAAGTTGCAAGGGTAATAAACTATCACCTAATATCTTCAATACAAAAAAAAAAAAGATAACTGATTTTATTAAGAGAAAAAAAAATAATTAAAAGTAACCCTACAAATTAAGGAGTGCAACCAATAATTTTATTAAAACTGTAAGGTTTCTTACCCCAACAAACCAAAAGGAAAAAATATGTATCCTTAATGAATCAAAATAATATCTAAAAAGCTTAATTTTAGAAAGGAGCCCCAAATTCTATGAATTAAGCAAATTAGTAATATTCATGTTATATGATGTGGATTTCTTGCCTCGCCAACAAACTTAGTAGGTGTTTGTCTTGGTTCTCTATATTATCAATACTCCTCTTCACGTGGCTCCTCTTCTCAATAATTTAGTGCTATCAGTTGGTGGCATCCACTAAGGAATAATCGTGTCATGTGATGTGGATCTTGGTAGTTCATAAAATTAGTTCAAGTTGATCACCCCGAGAAAAAATTCATTAGAGTTTATTGGATGATCATTATTGTGTTGATGTTCCTAGACTTGATATCACTTACCTCGGTGTCGTTGATGGCTCTACGGTTGCAAATGTAGATGACTCTGCATAATAAGCCAAACCTATATTTGTTGAGTATCAATGGGCGTCCATACTTCTATCGTCGTGGAGCGATTGCAGTTGCTCTCTTTGGCGCATTAGCTTTTGATTTCCTTTGAGCATCGGGTGTCAATTGTGTTGAGCATTAGAAAATTATTTTCATAGACATTTATATTGCTAATGACTTTGATCAGTCTTCTATTTAAATATCATGATGAAATGGTTGATCGAACACATCATAATAAATATGAAGAAACCGTTATACTCTATTAGATAGCTTGTAATCTCATCCAAAAAAAGATGCATCAAACTAGCATTTTGATTAGAGCCATTAACAAATGATTTTGCAATGCTAGATGTTCGAATATAGTAATCCATCTTGGGCACATAATAAATGAGTTGTTTAGAACGGATGAGCATAATTTTTATTTACTGAGTTAGAATTTATTTTTAAAATAATATACCAATATACCATTATGCCTTCACTCGGCGACCTCGGATAGTAAGTGTTTGGTGGTTGGGTCAGGTAAGATATAGTGATGCTTAAGATTTATACCACCGCATGTAAATTGTCAACTCATCCTTACCACCCGCTTGCGGTGGAGTGATTTGTGTTGTGTATAAGCTCAATATAATTTGACGGTAGTGTGTCCAATCATCATCCACTTTATCACACCTAACTACCCCCATAGCTGTTCATTTGATTGGCTTAATGTTTATTGGATTTTGGCAAACTGTCGCATAACCTGGTATAAAAGATGCCACTTTATGCGGTTTTAAGTGATAATTTGTGCCTTCGAAGTAAATCATAAGCAACAATGTCAGTATGCCATCTAGGTATACTCTTAGTCTCAATTAAAACTAAATGTAGTAAAAAAAAAGATAGAAACTTATCTCAAATTCTCCACCAAATTCTTGAAGTTCCGTTGAATCTTTTCTCTTTTAACAAATTCTTGAAGTTCCTTTGAATCTTTTCTCTTTTTTTCTTTTAAAACACTCTTGACTCTCTCAATAAAACTAAAAAAGAAAAATGATAAAGTAAATTGATTATAGTTGATTAAGAAGATTGATTAATAATTGCTACTGCAGGAACTACTATATAATATGTTTGTACCTTACTCTGTTGAAGCCCGTCAAGCTAATCCCTATAAGTCCTTGCATTTCCAGTGGACACTTCTCCTACACATTCCTCATTCCACCCACAAATTTTGTGAGGCTTTTGATAATATTATTCAAAATAAATAAACTATAAGATATTATGAAATTAGTATGATAATATATACGGTTGTAGGCTTAGTTGAAAGGTTCAGCTTTTCATTATGGTAGCAGTGGAAGCACAGACTCAACCAACTATAACGATGATTGAAGCAAACTGAAATCTTCAAGTGGCATGGAAGAAGATATCAACTCAATACATGTTGGAATCATTGAAGAAGAAACCACTATTGAAGGTTTATTTGCAAATCTATGGTAGGCTTTAGCAGCACATCACCATAGCCTTGGCATAAGTTTCATGTCATGTAGCTGTTATGCCTTGGGGGGCACCTCATCGAAAGCATGCTCTGGTTCATTTTTCTAGTAACACAACAAACTTAGACTATGACTCTTTTGAATCATCTTTAAAAAAGTCCATGTCATCATCAACAATTTGTTCCTCATCATATTAATTCTTATAAGGTCCATTAAAAGATGAAGTCGGAGCACAAAGTTTTGGTACATGATATCGAATTTGAACCGTTTTGTGGATATATGGGGCTGGAGTGGCTAGTGGAGATGATAGAGTTTTTGGGACTAGGGAAGCTAGTAGAGTAGATGACTTGGTTTTCTTCATTGGTGGATTAGAGGTGCTAATAGAAGGATTTGAGTGGTATGATTTGTGATGATTTTCACAATTATAGGTGCTGGTAGAAAACTATACAACTTTTTGTGATTTGAAGGGTTCGTAGGATGAAATGAACATTACTTGGGTACCTTACATGGTTTTTGAGTCGCTATGCTCGTTCTTAAGTAGACAGTAGGAAGCTACGCAAAGTGTTCTTTTTGTTGTTTTATATGTTTATTTTCTTATGAATAAATCAATGTCTTGCTATCCTTAGTTATACTATTTTTTCGCAGTAATTATACTAATAATTTATGGTAAATCTGCTTCTTCATTATTATCAGGCCCGATGAAGATGTTTTATTCACACACTTGGCTATGATGTGATGGACCCGGAAGGCAAGAAGTTTGGAAGAGGTACTATCTGAATTTTGCAAACATGAGGACTATCATTACTTTTACCTCTAAGTCTCTTAATTTTCTTTTGAACATAATAAGCGAGTATTGTTTAGTGTCAGCATGTACCATATCAACAAGTGGTAAGCATTTTTTTTTCTCGCAATTTTTGGAATACTGTAGGCATTCATTGTAGCTCATTCAAATGAATTTTCAAATAAATTTGTCCTGATTCTCTTGTTTCGATGCATTTGAACGGATAATAAAATGCATATTTTATTCTTTTTTTTCATGTTTTTAAACTATATATCTTTGTAAATAAAGCTATTAAGTGGAGCAATCGAACCCGAGCAAAGGCATAAAAGAAATTTCCTTGGATCCAACTTGAAGTGCAACCCTTCCTTATGTTTAGATATTTTTTGTTAGCAGTATTTATATCCTCCTTATATTGGGCACAAAGGGGTTATTGGTGTTTTTAAATATGTTGAGAAAAGTAGAGATGTTAAAGTGGGAGGGCCGCGAAAAAGATGTTTTGAGTTTTGAAGGGCTTGCATGTTTGTTAACTTCTATATATGTTTCATAAGTCAAATTGATCCAACGTGATGAGAATGACGAGTGATAAATGCTACCTCATGAAAGTTGAAGTCATAAGGCTTTTGATCTGATCCAACGTGATGAGAATGACGAGTGATAAATGCAACCTCATGAAAGTTGAAGTCATAAGGCTTTTGATCATGCTCAAACTCACTTGAAATATCATTCATTTATAGATTAGAATTTATTGATGCCTTTAGAGGGCTGAAAATGCATAAGAAAGCCTGCTCAATGAAGACGGCGAGCGATGGATGCAATGATATTTCGATTAGGTCCAAATTTCGTTGCTCATCATTGAAGTGGTTCAAAAGATGCCCGTTTACAAAACGGATGTTGTCGATACATCCGAAAGGCCTATATTTTCTAAGGAGCCTTGTAGAATCTATTCAATAAAAAATGATGAAAACGGTAAACCATGAACACTGCGTGTGTGAATCAAGCTTAAATCATCTAAATCATCATCCAATCGCTCAAATGTTATTCATTTGAAAAATGGATCGCTTTGATATGTCTAAAACATTGAAATTACCTTTTGATAAAAATGTCCATTGACTAGCCATTGGTTTTGCCTATGGATTAGTTTGAAACTGTCACAAAACCGATGATCGAAATTGACTCGTTAAAATTAAATTAAAAAAATAATATATAAAATATGAGATTCGAACCTGGACCAAATGTATGTAAAAGAAGGTACTAACCACATTTCGCATGAGCTATTATGATTTAAAATTAGATATAAATATATATAATATATTATTATATAAATAATATATGCAATATATTATTATATAAATAGTTTTATAAATAATATATGTAATATATTATTATATAAATAGTTTTATATATTTTTTTTAATTTTAAGCTAAAACGAGTCGAACACGAGCGAATAAAGAGCTGTTCGTGTTCGGCTCGTTTAAAATTCGAGCTTTAAAAACTTGTTCGTGTTCGACTCGTTTACTTAACGCTCGAGCTGAACACGAGCTACTTAACGAGCCAAACACGAGATGTTCGCGAACAACGAGCTTTTTTTGACAGCCATAATTACCTAGAAACACTACTCATATTTTTGGGTTTCTAAATGGGTCAGTGTCATGTAAGTCGATGCACAAAATTTGAGGAATTGCACGGGGACAAGCAAATTGTGCAAGAATATTAATGGAGCAAATTGTCCTATATTTATATATAATCAATTCTATATTGTTTTTGTATGGAAAATAACTATTCGATACGATCCCCTACCTAAAGCCACCCAAATCTTGCTCAAATCTCTGCCTTTCAACGTCATTTGTACGTCTCATGTCACTCCCATCCATCAGACTCTCCGCACATGAAAAAATGATAATATTAATTAAAATAAATAAACCTATTACTATCTTATTCTCTCACCTTCTCCTTCTCTCTCTCGCTCTCACTTTTGTTTTCACCTAGAGCTAAAAACCCAACCTCTTCTCCTGGTTGAAATCTCTTTTCTTAGGAAATATCCACTCCTCATCTCCTCTCCACTAGCCTTTTTGTTGCAAACCCTTTTTGTCCTCGCTTAGCTCACAAGCCAAAACCCCCCTGCTCAAGTTAAACGTCCTTCTTAGGCCGCTCGCTCGCTCTAATCTCCCAGTAGCCCACACAAACTTTATTCCTCTCCTCCTTGTTCATGTGTCTATCGTCCTCACACATCTCTTCTTTTCTCCACTTCCTTAACTCAGCTCTCTCCACTCCTTGGCCAAACGAACACCAACCAAATTCTCTGCCTCATTGTCACACAACAACCAACCCACCGTGACCTTATCGCAACCCAATCACATGCCCATTTTTTCCCTCTTCAAAATTTAGCCTCCTTTCGCTGAACTAAGATCCAAATGACCTCTCATTCTCTATCCCAACTATGAAATCCTCATTTTCTTCCCAAAACCCAACGCTACCCTATTTTGAAGCCTTCTCAACCACTTTTGTACACATGAACTAGCATACTGGCTCCTTTGTCTAGTCCTCTACTCCAATCTCTTGCTAACCTCTCTACGTCTCCTCACAAACCAAAACCTACTCTCATGAGTTTCCCCTTGTTCTATTTGAGTCCATCCATCTCCACATTTTTGCATGTAAAAATCTTCCTTTTATTTTTGCTATATTCCCCTCATGTTCATGTTGAACGTGAATCTCAACCTTAAGGGATATTTTCATATAAATATATTCTAATCAATTTTGTCAAAATTCAAAAAAAATTATTAAAAAAAATACAAAAATCATATAATATTCAAATGAAATAAATCACTAAAAACTAATGAGTAAATCTTATCCATCATTTGTAACTGTTTGTTGAGGTTAATAAATTTGATGTTGAAAACTCATGAGAAGATTTCATATCAAACATAATCTTATATCAGTAAGGATGTGACTAGTATCCTCTCTTCACATGTATTGACTAGTCGACTTCACAAATGAAACGATTATAATCAGAGTTCTTTGATCGGGTGATTTGATAATTATATATTTCTCTATAGTATGGCCACAACTATAATCTATATATCCCCAATGATTATGTTTGTTTGAGCGATGAATTGTTGGGCATACTTGATAGAGTGCAAAGTTTTTGTAAGCTAAAATTGATTTAAATTTGTCTTCTTAAACAAATATCTTCCGCAAGTCGGTAAGATATTATTAGTGAAACAACTCATGATCGCTAACAATGATTCTTCTGTTAGGTTGGATCGACTATCTTCTCCGATTAAGTAGACCAATGACCATGATAACTCGATACGATGAAACCATGAGATTTTGATCAGGATCGTCATCATTCTTCCCACCATATACTCTTAAGTTCTCGACGATAAATTTTAAATCTGAAATCTAAAATACTGCTACTATACGCTGAGCCTCTAAAGATTAACCTTAGGGTCTGTTTCGGGCAGCTGCAACTGCGCTGCCCTAAGGAGTCGCTGAGGGAAAGCTGGCTGTCTATTTGTTACAGTTGCAGCTGTGTGAAAACAACTGTGGGATAACTGTTTTTGAAAAAAATGATCGTTCTGTCTCTGCGTGGTATTGATGTATGTAACCGAATATAAAATAATTTTTTTAATCAAACAAAATATTTATTAAGCAATAAATTAACATTAATTAATAATTAATTAGTTTTATTAATTAAGAAAACTTAAAAATATGTTTATAAATAAATTAATTAATCATTAAATAGTAATGTATAAATTTATGTAGTTATGATTAATTTGAAAATATATGAATTAATCATTAATTATTAATCAATTAAATTAATTAAAATTTAAATTTAGATAAAAAAAATTAAAACCATAAACCCCCCTCCCCTCCTGGCTTAGCCCAAAACCATGGCCTTCGCAAACGAATCCTTGCAATACAGTCGCGATTAGAGCAAACTGGGAAGGCAACGATGGGATCGTCTGAACCCTCGCGATGCAATCGCGATTAGAGCAAGTTGGGAAGGTGGAGTTCGTTGTCAGAGATTATCGTCGGAGATCACCGTGGGATCGTCTGAATCCTCATCCATTGTAAAACTGGGGTAGGACTCATAGCGCTGGGAAGGAGGACAGGGATCCTTTCATCGTTTCCAAGGGCAAGCGCATAACTTGTAGCAGGAAAAACACGGGCCGCATAATCGAATTCGTGGCCCACGTTTTGCTTAATTGCGACCGCGCAGTGGCAAAAATTCCTCCCCAAACGGGGTGGATTCGTTGGAGGGAGAAGTGTCGCGGCAAAAACTCCACCCTAAACGGGCCTTTAATCGAAATTGCTTTTAAATTATCAGGAATGATAATTAACCACATGGGCTTACTCTTATGGGAACTCTCAAATCCTATATTTTAAAAGCCAATGCAAATTGGGGATGAAATCTCTAGGCTGTCTGATCTACAATTTTATTTGTCTTCTGAAAATTTGACCTGAAACCTTTTATAAAGCTCTCGCAGTCATTTCAAGGATACTGGTGCATAAATTTCGGAGCCCACAATATTAAGTATGACTTTACAACTATGTTCTTCTTCATCAATATTTTTGTTGTTAGAACTTAGAAAGATCCTCTTACACTGTTCTCTCTTATGCACTTACGTGACGAAGGAAGAGGGTTTGGGTGATTTATAAAGCTTTATATAAAGCGAGTTACAGTCACCATCTCATCATCTCCCTTATGCCCAATTATATTGGTTTGGCTTCTCATCTCCTACTATCATTTACGATCATATTAAGTGTTGCAAGGGATGTTAACTTTATTCTTTGCAAAATATTTTTGAACATCCGTCCATGATAACTTATGTTTAACTCTTTTTTTCTTCGATCTAATATTTCAATAATTTAATTATCCTGCTAATGAACACATTGCCTTCTCTATTACATTCTCAAACTATTATTGTCTATTCTTCATTATTTTATTTATTGTCTATTTTTCATTATTTTATTTTCAAGTGATGTCAATCCAACTACTCCACACTGATGTAATCATTCCGTAGTTTTGCTAGTTCTACACACTTACATCTCATCATTCCCATAGTTGCTTTACTTTGCTATTAGTGATTTATTAACTGCTCAACACTAAGGAGCCATAGAACATAACTGGCCTAGTGTCACAAAACAGTCAAAAACTCATGCTCGTTGTCATTTGGTTGTCCTTAGAAAACTTGTTCAACAATGATATTGATTTTTTTTTTTTTTGTGATGAATCAGAATATCACAATCTAAATTTCGTGCTTGAATTTAATTCATGATGAGATTTGAGAGCAACATAAAAGATTTTCGGCATATACATACATACACACAATTCTTATATATTTACATATCTAATACCTAAACATTTATATTTACATGCATACCGCTCAACTCTTCATATAAAAAAGTCCACGATCACTGCCTTTTTAAAATTGAAATACACCTTTTTATGCATGGGTATATGACACCAAGGTTTTATAAGCGTAAGTATCAAACTTTGGGCGTTAAATATGTAAATACATAAGAATTATGTGGTTTGTATGTCAATTTCCCAAAGATTTTTACTTCATTGCTTGTGTTTTCATTACTAGCAAAGGATTAGATTATAGGTTTTTGTTCAGTAGTTTTGATGCGGGAATTTATTTGAAAATTTCAGGACCTCGGGAGGTTACTGGTGCTATCGATCTTATAAGTCATTACAAACTACTGCTACACCACGATTTCTTCTGCAGAAGGGTATTGCCTCAGTCAATTTCGGACACACATTATCTTCACAATGTTGTCGGTGATACTGAAATTCGAAAAGGAGATGGGATGGAACTCGATCAACTCTTTCAGAGCGCTTCATACTTAAGGGAGACATCTACTATACAGCCATTTGATTTAGACACCCTCGGCCAGGCATTTCAATTACAAGAAACAGCTCCCATTGATTTGTCCTCTGTATGATATGATTTCTCCTACTCCAAAGATTTTTCTTTTTAAAGGGTCATTTACATACATACCACCCAATTCCTTTGTATTACACATCTAGCTCCTAAACCTTACGTTTTTAGATTTATACAAAATTGGAATCCATATCTTGTTTTGAAACTACTTAACAGGTGTGTTTATGCATGCCATGATCAAATCATTAAGAATTTGATAAAAATGAAAAATATAGGTTGGGGTTTTCTCGTGATGGGATAATTTCGAAAGTTGATGAAAGAGGGTGCTAAGTTTGCTAAGTTTTTAAATAGCAACTTTCATGTGGTGTGTATGTAATTGCCCTAAAAAATTATTGTTTGATTTATAAAATTATAATGTTTGCATGATCTACTATACAGACAGATAAGGGCATTCCCACAAGTAGTGGAAAGTCAAAAGAATCAAAGGATAAATCTAAAAGGCATAAAAAACATAAGGACAAGGATAAGGAAAAGGACAAGGAGCATAAGAAGCATAGACATCGCCACAAAGATAAGAGCAAAGATAAAGATAAGGAAAAGAAAAAGGACAAGAGTGGGCATCATGATTCTGGTGGCGACCACTCGAAGAAACATCACGACAAGGTTTTACTACTCGCCATTCGTACACTTTTTGTTCGTTTTTGTGTAGTTGTGTTTCTTGTAAAATATTTTTCGGCCACAGAAAAGGAAGCTTGAGGGTAGCGAGGATATTACGGACACTCACAAGCTCAAGAAAAGTAAGGTGGAAGAGAAATTTTCCTCACGTTTGGGCACTTCTGGTACACATTTTACTCTCGGGTTTTGTTAAATATAACTTTTCATGCTTTGGATCTCAAACATACAAACTCCATTTTATGCCATTTCAGCGTAAGAATGCGAAGGATGACGTTGGAGGATAAATTTTGTCCGCAGTCTTCTGCATTTTGATTCCTTTTTTTTTTTTCCTTAAATCTTCCATGGGAACTTCTGAGTTTTGCTTGAAGGATCTCCTATTTTGAAGTCAAATTTATGAGGTAACTTTAACTACTTGACTCAACTTTTAATTGCATATTGTTTTTGTATTGAATTTCTTTGGAGGGGAAGCTTTTGATAATTTTCATTGCTTTTATTTAATTTTTAATATTGCATGAATTTTTCTAGTTAAATAAAATTTTAGGTAATGTTCTCATAAAACCCAAGTGCTCATCATCTGTATGATTTTTATGTTATTTTTTTTATGAGAACTTCAAGACTGTTTTAAAATCGGATTACTAAATACCAAGATGATTATTTTTCTAGTTTGAATGTGCTTTGTCCGCTCTGTTCCTTATACCTTACATTTTTGTACTTGCTTATGGCATTTGTAGTTTTTTTTTTAGGGAAATTTACATTTTTTTACCTATCTAACTCCCAAAGTTTGATATTTGCATTGATAAGACCTTGGTGGTATAAACCTATGCATAAAAAGGTGCATTTGACTTTTAAAATGTTAATAAAAATGGTATTGTTGATGTGATGTTAAAGATTTGAGTGCTATGATGTAAATATTAGTGTTAAGGTGTAATATATTTAAACTCATAAGAATTGTTTGGTATGTATGTAAATTCCCCTTGCTTCAATATGTTGCGTGTACCACATTATTTGAGACATTAGCACCTTTTTGTTTCTATGTCGCTCAACCGTATGCTATTTGCTATTTTTTTTAGTCTTCTGATATTATGTTATATGATTTTTATTGCTCTCGATATTTTTTGATTTTCTTGTTACTTTCTTGGCTAATACTTTATTTTTATTTTTTTTGTTATGGATAATTTTTTTAATGTTATGCTATATGATGTTTTCCTGTTATTTATTTTTTGGTGTATTTACGTACATAACTGACAATTATTATTTATTTAAATTTCTAAAATCCTATTTTTTGTTTACTTTTATCACACTTTGGTGTCATAAACCTACTCAAAATGTGTATTTCACTTTTAAAATGTTATAAATAGTAATAGCTTGAAGAAACATCAAAGATTTGAGTGTTATGCATGTAAATATGAAAGTTTAGGTGTTAAATATGTAAAAACATAAGAATTGTGTGGTATGCATGTAAATGACCTTACATATTTTGTGTTTAGTTCAAGCATATGCAATCAGAGTTGATAGTTATTCTTATATTTTTGAATACTTTTTGACATACTATCATGTTATGAGTTTGCTTTTTATGACTTTCAATTATTTTGATCATGAATTTTTTTTAGAAATAGTTTGTAGAAGAAAAGCTTTTAATATGTGAATTCTTCGCCTTTCCTTTAGACATTTGTTGGCCTTTTTGTCTTAATGTTTAAGTTGGGTTGTTCAAAACCTCCTGTAACAGATTTGTCTAAGCTTTTTCTAGGAAACCAGAAGAAAAACTTATTTTCAATTTATGCAATTTATATAATGAGCTTTTAGACTTTCAAGGCTTAGAGCAGATAAGCCATACTATACTACTATAGTCATTAATGTTCTGGCAGATGTGCTGCTTTTGCTTTGTTCTATTTCAATATTTGATTGGGTTGGTGAAGAGTGTTTCTTGTTTTGAATTGTAATTCTAAATATATTTTTTTCTTTATTTGAATGAAAACAGCTCCAGTGTATGCATCCCTAAATTTGCAAAATCAAGAGCATGTTTGAATAACTACCGCTGAGTCAAAGAAATGTTTTTCTAAGAACGATGGAATAACTATGATTAAGGAAAAATTTATCACACAGAAGTTAGGAATTTTGCTACAAGGGTATTAATGCAAAGCTAGAGGTTTTAGGAAGATTTACATACAAACCACACAATTCTTTTGTATTCATATATCTATCATGTAATGTTTGATTTTTTTTTCTTCCTTACAATTTATACTTAAAAAGGCATGTTTCAATTTTAAAAGTTAGAAATAGTTATAGTTTTGATGTGATATAAAAGATTTAAGTGTTATAAATGCAAAAAATTAAATTTTACCTCTTAGATATAAAAATTGTGCCGTATGTTTGTAAATGGCCCAAAGTTTTAATGCAATAGGCTCCACGGAATGAGAAAAATGTAGTTATAAAATAGTTATGACAGAATATAATAGATCTTGTAATCTTGATCGGCGTTAGATGTATTAAAAGTAAAAATAGCATAATCATTAGATGTATTAAAAGTAAAAATAGCATAATCATAGTTAATGATGAAGGCATCAAAGAAAGACGAAACACTATTTTGTTAAAGTATTAAATGAGAATATATAAGGAAGAAATGTATTACAAAAGCATCATGAGTAGAATCTTGAGGCATATAATAATTTGATTCAAGAAAATGAAGGAGAGCATCATGAAATATATAATTTAAAAAAACCGAAAATAGAGTTATGTTATTTATTAAGAAGACACATAAAGGTAATGCTTAAGCCTAAAATGTGATTTTTATTTTGATTTGAATTGCACTTGATAGGCTGGAGTTGCTTGGTTGACTTCTTTTTTAATGGAATAAAAAAAAATAAAAATGAATCGAATGATTAAAGAAGCATATAATACTTGTTTTTTAAGAACAAAGGAAGTCCTCAGGATTGTTGTAATTATAGGGGAATCAAGCCAATGACTCGTAGAATTTAGGTATGGGAGAGGATAATGGGGAGTTATCAAAATTTAGTCACGTCACCGAGTCTTTTGGTTTATTATTGCTACATCTATAATGGTGATGATTCTTGTTCTAAAACAATTAGTAGACGAGCATATGGAGCGATGAAAATATTCTGACATGTTTTTTTTTTATATTGAGAACCATGGTTGATTAAATGAGAGGTTATTTGGTGTGCACTAAAGAGAAATAGTGTATTAAAGATATGTTGAAATTATTATAATTATTTATCATGAATCATTGATTAGTATTAGGTGTGTCAAAAATTGAGCTGATACGGTAGCTTTTCTCAAATCCAACTCAAACTATTCAGGTCAGGGTTAGCCTGATTAATTTTTGGGTTAGGTTTGATTCCAGAATCCCAACACATTTCATTTTTTTGGGCTGGGTACGGGTTGTTCCGCCAACCCAAATTAATCCAAGTAGTTGCTATGCATATGCTAAACATTCTACGCGGTCGGGTTAAGTTAGACTTTCAAACTTGTGTAATATTTGGGTGGGGTTCAAGTTAAGTTTGGGTCAGACCCGAAATTTATTGGACATGCCTAATTAGCATTATAAGCGGCTGTAAAGTGACTAAAGAATTTTCAGTCATAGTCGGTGTGAAATTTCAAACGAGGTAACTTGATTTATTCCTAGATGAAATATTTATGATAGGCGAGACCTTTGCCAAAATAAGTGTTGTATTATGACACCAATGAAAAAATTATATAGGTGAATACTTCGAATTGTCAGACTAAAGATTAAGTATATGTTATGCAATTCTAACAAGTATGAAGTTAATGATAATCAGTTAATATTTTTAGAAAGTCAAGTGACATCTAAATGTTGTGTTTAAGTTACTTAGATCTATTATATAAAAGAAGATAATATAGTTTATTTTATAACTTCTAAAGATAAGATTACTTGTTTAAGATGAAGAAGTACTTTCAGATTACCAATGCACAAGTATTGAAGACTTCTAGGTGAACTTTAGAACTAAAAACAACCAATATCTTTCTCAGCTTTTTGGCTAAGATGTAATATTTATTTTTATTAAATTTATTTGACTTGTGAGCCATTAGCCTTATTATGATATTAACCTAATTTTTTATAGGCAAGCGTGCGCTATAGTAGCTTGTTGCTAGGTTTTCGAGCATTGCCCTAGAGTTGTGCTATTGCCTGGGCTTGGTGCACTCTTGCCGTAAAGAGTTGAGAAAAAATGTGCTGTGCAACTTTAAAAAGCATTGATAGCCTAGTTGAATGTGAATAATGAGAATGTTAAGATGAGTGTTACATAAATTAAGAATGAAGGATTGATACGTGGTTATTTTAAAGATTAAGTGTTGCTGAGATGAGAATGCTTAGGTGGATGAGTGGTATGACACTTAGAGACAAAATGTGAAATGAGTATATCCGTGATAGGTTTGGTGTAGCTTTAGTTATGGACAAGATTAGAGAGAGCCGTCTTAGATGATTTGGTCACATTAAACGTTAACCATCTGATGATCCGGTCAAGAGAGCACATGTTTTAGATTCGACTTATGTTGAGAAAGGCAACGGTAGACCTAAAAAGGCTTGGGCTTATTTAAAAAAAATGATCTTAATCAATTAGAATTAAATGAAAGTATGACGCTCAATAGACGCAACGAAGAAAAAGGATTTATGTAGCCGACCCCACTTAGTGGGATAAAACTTGTTGAAAGGCTTAACAAAACAAAAAATAAAATATAAATATAAAATAAGATTTAAGGCTAATGATGAGATTTAAGTGTGATTAATTTGTGTTTGACATAGTTTAGATTCTTGCACATTTTTCATGGTTCTCGTGGAAGTTGGCCAATGCTATGTTGAAGCTCCTTATTTTGGTTATTATTTTTTTTTTCCTAGAATACAGTACTAGCCACCATAATTTTCTCAAATGATATTTTCTCTTTTGTCAAATTATGTAAAACGTGTTTCAGACAATTTTAAAGGCATGATTCTTAACTTGAAAAACTTAGATATTAGTGATTCTTAAAAAGGGTTTGTGTCACGTTGTAGCTCTCAACTGAATTGGATGTAGAAAAACATCTATAAACCTTTATAAAGCCAGAAGTATTAACCTTGAAAATTTTCAAACTATTATTATGTTTTAGTCTGAGGATTGTCCGGTAAGGAATATGCCTATCTATGATTTGCCTCACTTCATGATATTTTTCTGAGATAGACCTTACCCTAAGGCCTCATTTAGTTAAGGGACATTTACATACATACGACCCAATTCCTATGTATTTACTATCTAACACTTAAATTCCGCTCACACTTAAATTCCGCTCTTTTACATTTATACCAGCCAAATCTTTCATATCACATAGAAATTACCTCTATTTGTATTTTTTGATAGTGAAATACACCTTTTCATGCATAGATAAGACGGCATATATGTTAATAATGAAGTTTAAGTGTTAGATATGTAAATACATAAGAATTGAGTGGTATGTTTGTAAATTTTCCTTTAGTTAACTACTTAGAAAATATGTTTTAGATAGTCATGATTTCATTTTAGTTTTTTTCATTAGTAGTAATGAAATCATCATACTAAGTGAGAGAAGTAAAATTTCAATATATTTCAAATGCCTCAAATCCTTAGCTTAAGCTTTCTTTACCTTTAGAGTAGATACTGCCGAATCGGTTGTATTTGATTACATTATTTTGACATTTATTACCACACAATTCTTTATGCATTTACATTTCTAACGCCTAAGCTTTCGTTTTTACATGCACATCACTCAAAATTTTAATATTACATCTAATATATCATTATTACTAACATTTTTAAAATGAAATGTGCTTTTTCATGTACAGCTTTATGACAGTGGCATAAATGTAAATATCAAATTTTAGGCATTAGATATATAAATACATATGAATTTTGTGGTTTGTATGTAAATTTCCCTTTTATTGTTTTGTTTTGAATTTTCAGATTTGTTTTTTTTTTTTTTTGCTTGGGACTTGAAAAGTAATAAAAAAAAAAGATCTTGTTCTGAGTGATAATCCGACCTGTTAACTTCTAATATTCCATAAGGCATTAATGTTGAGGTTTTTTTGAATATCTGAACTCCATTACTTGCATTTAATCAATTGATGACATCTAACAAATTCTCTTATTTTCTAAGTCTTTTTCTCTATCTACAAACCACCAAATATGTTTCCCATTTGCTACCAGAAGTTTCTTTCATTAAAATTCTTTGGGGCATTTACATGTCTCTACATATCTAACACTTGAATCTTTGTTTATCTTATATTTATACCACTTAAATCTTTCATATCATAGGGAAGTTGGTATACATGTAAAAATTGAAGTTTTGTTGTTGGTATGTTTGGTAAATCTCTTAAACTGTTTTGAATTGGATTTCTTACGCAGGTGATGGAAATTCTTTGGTTGGAGCAATACAGGTTTCAAAAGGGCAATAAGCTGTCAAAAATGTAAGATCTGTGGTTTCTTAAATTAACTCCATTGATTTCAGTCACCAATAATTTGCTTGCAAGCAATTGTTTAAAAAAAAAAAAAATTTAATTATTTAATGGGTTAGTTTTGTTAGCATTGTAAGAGGATAGGGAAAAAATGAAGTATTTTTATTAAATCTCTAGTTCTTATTTCTATTTTTAGCTGTAAAATTAAGAAAAAAAAATGATTATGTAGCAAATAGATTATTTTGAGTTTTTATTTTTTTTTAAAATAAAATTTTGTTTTCTTCATTTTAGCTGGAAAATTTGTTCTTTGGGCTTTTACTAGCTGTGTAGATTTTGTTGTAATGGAGGCATTTGTATTTACATATCCAATGCCTAAACTTCATTTTTTTACGTATATACCGCCTTTCCTATGCATGAAAAGATGTATTTCAAATTTTGAAAATTAAAATGACAGTATTTTGATGTGATATGAAAGATTTGGATGGTATAAATAAATAAAGTTTAGGCATTAGTTCTTCATTTTAGCTGGAAAATTTGTTCTTTGGGCTCTTACTAGTTGTGTAGATGTTGTTGTAATGGAGGCATTTGTATTTACATGTCCAATGACTAAACTTCATTTTTTTTTACGTATATACCGCCTTTCCTATGCATGAAAAGATGTATTTCAAAATTTGAAAATTAAAATGGCGGCATTTTGATGTGATATAAAAGATTTGGATGGTATGAATAAATAAAGTTTAGGCATTATTTTACAAGTATAAAATGTCATATGATACAACAAATTACTTTTTTGAGTGGAACACAAACCAAAGAAGGAAGACGAATATGATACGGGGAATTTTTTTTTTTTTTTAAATTTGGCTAGATCCCTAATTTTTATATTTTTCAATTTTCAGTACCACTCAATTTTATGTATTTATATATATAACACTTAGATTTTATTTTTTTTATATTTATGCCAACGTAGCTGTACATGACAACCTGTACATGTTTATTTGTTGAAACAGTGATATTTTTTAATGAATTATAAAAGATTTGCGTGGCATAAATGTAAAATGTAAAATTTAGATGCTAAATATGTAAATTTATAAGAATTTGGTGGTATGTATGTAAGTGCCCTTTAATTTTGTACTCTCAGTTTTGGGCACCATCAGTAAATGTGAAGTTTACCACTGTAATATAACCACTGGTTGGATCGGAGCCTAAACCTGCTAAGTAATAACCAAGCGTTTTTTTTTGTTTTTGCAACTCTATTCTTTCATATTATATCAAAAGTATCATTTTATTTATAAATCTTTTCATGCGTATGTAAGGTGGTATGTATGTAAAAATTAGAATTTAGTTGTTAGATATCTAAATATATAAGAATTCTGTGGTATTTATGTAAATCTACCAATATTTAACTATTGACGTATCATATAAACTTCCTCAAGTTAACAGAATGATTATTCCTCTCATTATATTGGAAATGTCTAAAATTCATCAATTTAATATATATATATATATAATACAAAACTATATTCAACAAGTTTTTTTTTTAGGTTAATTCTCGATATATTTTGCTAATTAAAGTAAATATTATCTTTAATTCTTGAATTTAAATGCATTTAATTTCTTGTATATAATCATTTAGTGTTTAAATATTGATAAGTTCCATGTGTAAATATATGGGATACTAAATATAAACATTTGTTTAGAAGCGCAAGATTTAAATCTCTCACATTCACAATTATAAACATTTGATAATCTAATCTTTGCTACAAATTTTATTACACAAATAATATGTCAAATTTTTATTGTTCATAACCAACCTATGCTAAGAATCTAACACAAATAGAAATCAAGGGAGACTTTGAAATGTAAAGGAAATTGAAGAAAATACCTTTACGATTGAGAAGTGTTTATTGAAGGTGATTAGATTACTCACGATGAGCGCGTCTTTTACATGCATTTAAACGAAATAGATGTCAAAAGCATATTTTATTCTTGTACCAATAAAGTTATAGTTGAACAAAAGAAATGCAGATTAAATTCAAATTAGACGAGAGCTTCCACAAATTACAAGCATTGCCATCATCACACAACCATGTTGAAAACGACGGAAAAGTCCCTCGAAGAATTGCAAAATAATCTTGAAAATTTTTCAGCGGGGTCCTTTAGCAATCTTCATCATTTCCTTAGTGATGAGATGGGTTACAATTCCAAAAGGACAGGATAGAAGACATAAGATTACTAAATGCCGAGTCTCCACTTTGTTCTTCAATCCATCAACAAATACCTGCCTGAAAGAAGCCAAAATCAACATAAATAAAAATAAAAAAAATATATTTTTATTAAATATATTTGAGCACGTACATGTGTGTGTGTGTGTGTGTGTGTGTGTGTGTGTAGAGAGAGATTCAAAAGTATTATGAAAGGAACCTGGCAGCATAAAGATCTACAACAAGAAAGTGAATCCATGCAGAAGCCAAAGTCATCTCACTAGCAAACATCTTTGATATTCCAGGTAACTGCGGAAGGCAAATGGCAACTATCAAATGGACAGCTTGGGATCATTTTTAATTTTTAGCTGTAAATTTATTTTGTTCACATTTTAATTTAAAATAAGACGTATTTAATCATCTTAAAAATACTCAAAATAATTTTTAGATATTTTGAATATTTTTAAAGACGAGTTAATTTGCTTTTGTAAACATATATATATATATATATATATATATATCTATCTGTGTGTGTGTGTGTGTGTTAGCTTGGCTTATTGGTTGCGGCCTTTCGTGTAAGTCCCTCGGGTCGGAGATTCGATCCCTGCGTAGGATCGAATTGCACAAAGGGGTTCGATCCCTGCGTAGGATCCCTCGGTTAGACTATGGGGTTGATCGGAGATCAACTTTTAATACACACACACACACACATTAAAAATCACATTTTTAAAATAAAAGTGATCCGCAATGAATGGGATATTATATTTTGCTTCCTATGTACTAAACTCCTAGAAATAACAAACATTTGAATAAATAATCCCAAGATCTTTGGAAGAGATATATAAGTGATTTCATACCTCAGGAAGCCAGTATTTACTAGCAAAAAGCAAAGTTAATGTTGAAGGAGTCCATGAGAGATATACAAGGCATCCGTATAGTATGGCAAGTGACGCAAAGGGAATATTGCTCTCCATAACTCTCTTAGCCTGCAGTTTAACATAATTAGCATGTTTTTAGCAAATTTAATTCTTAATCTAATAGAATTAAATGAAATTATGACACTCAATAGGACACAATGCAGAAAGAGAATTCATGTAGCCAACCCCACTTAGTAGAATAAAGGCTTGCTCTAGTTGTTGTGTACAGTCTTTCTAGCTAGCTTTCATTGCAGAAAATAGATAAATGAAGCACTTGTTTGAGATCAAATTTATTTATTTTATTTATTTATATTAATTTTTTAAAATATATTTTTCATATATTTTAAATTTTAAAAATGATAACTTGTTTTTAGATTATTTTGAGTGTTTTAAGAAACAGATTGATTTGCTTTCAGCATACTAAATATGTTTTATTCAAATCAGCACATGAACAAAATAAAAAAAGAAAACAAAAAAAATGATAAAAAAATGGCCCATAATCCATGTATTTACATAATTAAAACCAAACTTCAATTTTTACATATATGCCACCTTACCTAGCTATGAAAAGGTGTTTCACTTTTTAAAAAAGTAAAATAATAATATTTTTTTGTGTTATGTGAAAGATTTGGACGCAATGGACAAAAATGATTCATGTAGCCGATCCCACGTAGTGGGATTAAGGCTTTGTTGTTGTTGTTGTTGAAAGATTTGGGTGGTATAAATATAAAAAGCAATGTTTAGGTGTTTTAACATATAATACATAAGAATTGGGCGGTATGTATGTAAATGCCCCATAAACATATACCAGAGTAGATTTAGGTACAAAAACCATAAGCGTGTAGAAAGGAAGTACAGCAACTGTTCCCAAAGTGAAAGCAGTGCTTGCAATTTGCGAACTTGTCATCACTGCAATGTGAATAGAATAATTAGGCAAAGAATTTGACAAATAAGAAAAATGTATAGACCCAAATTCAATGAAGAAATTACTGCCTAAAATCCAAGTAATGGCAGGAAAAGAATGGCTCCGAGAAATAATAGATCATCCCCTTGATTGTGACGAAACAACAATGCTACTTCTGTAAGACGAATAATAAGTAGCAAATCATTGCAAGGACCTACAACAATTTAACAGCTTTTTTCATTCTTTTCAGATTGCTGGAATAAGTTAAGCAGAAATAAATGAAGTAGGGGCATTGGGATTATAAAAAAGAAAATAAAACTTTACATACATACACATAATTCTTGTTTATTTACATATCTAACACAGATTTTTACATTTACATTTATAACACTTCGGTGTCACAAACCTATGCATGAAAATATGTATTTCACCTTTAAAAGTAAGTCAAAGTGGTATTTTTGATGTGATATTAAAGATTAGAGTGCTACGCATGCATTATTGATATTAAAGTTTAGATATGTAAATACATTAAGAATTATGTGGTTTTATGTAAATGCCCAAAAGAAAAACATACACAATCATATAAATTATTATAAGTTTTGAACTAGAGCATAGTAGAATTCAATTAGCTTAAGCGGGTTACTGAATGCGACCAAATTTGCTTGAGTGAACTTTAGAATCAAAAGGAGGGATTGCTTAGATAAGTCTTTCGTAATAACATTATTAAAATGTCTTTATATTATTCTCCATTTTCCAATGATAATTTCTTTTTTCATAATATGTTTATGTCGTAATGACTACTCCAGCTTTCATCTTTATCATTTGGCCAAATAATAGAGAAAACTGGATCATATACCCATTGACAACATGAATAATGGAAGGATTGAGAGGTATTATATATATATATTGATTTGAAACAAAATGTTTGACTATTTGATTAAAGTGGTTATTTTTAAAAACAATTTATATAAAAATTACTTTCAGTATTTTTAAAAATATGTTAATTTATTTTTAGAAATGAAAAATAAAATATATTTAAAAAATAAACTAACATGTTTTTAAAAGCAAAAGTAAAAAACAAAACAATAGTAAAAAACTAAAGTGACTTGAAACAAGCCCTTAATGTTCAAAGAAGAACATCAATATAAAGATGATGAATAATGTTTTATGATGGAAGAAGCCATCAAGCTTCATTTTATATTGCAACCAATCAACATTAATACACTGATCAAAACAATATGATTTTTTAAATAAAACTTAAAGCTTATATATATATATTTCATGGAGGAAAAAGGAAGACCCAAATTCTTCATGATTTGATCTATAGTTCGCATAATAGAAGAGATCATTGATTGAGAGCATTAATTTTAAAACATCTAAATCGTTTTTCATTACATATGATGACATAAAGAAAAAGAGATGAAAGAGGAAACGCTGAAACCTTCATGTTCCTTCTTCCTAGATTTCATACAAGCTGGTTTAGAAGTTGATTAGTTTTATTTTGATGTGGTTATGGTGATTAAAATTCTTATTGATTGCCCACAATTGATGAAGATGGAAAATAACAAAATCTTTCCTTATTTTTTGATGAAAACTAAAAAAAAAAGATTATTTTTAGATGATGATGATGAAGATGATGACAATACAACAATTTTTAAATTAACAGAAAAGTTTTTAAATTAAATTAAAATAGCCATTCTTAGTATAATCATTTTCGGCTCTTTAAAGAAATCTCTTCCAAAGTGTTGAAGATGTTTGTGGGATGTTTGCGGTAATTGTAAAACAGCATTGCTTGAACTATAAAGAGGAAAACGAGGTGAAAAAACTAGCAATAAATAAAAGTTTCTTTATTAAGAAATAAAAGCAACACAAAAGACTGAAGAAGCAAAGCAACAAATTAAAAAGTATAAATTAAGATAGCTAAGAAAGTTTCCATTGAAGTCAAAATAATAAAGTCAAAACAATCATGCCAAAAAAACATTTCAAGAAGAGTTGAGACCCCCCAAGGCTTCAACACTAACTAGCCAAAAAGGAAAGATAAATTGAATGTTTTATGAAGTGCCAAGAGCAAACTTTAAATAAATCATAAGGAAAAAGAAAAACTCACTTTTAAATCAAAGCCCTAAAATGTTGACACCAAAAAATCAATATAAGATGGATATCAACCATGTAAGATTTGTGGCAAAAAATAAATAAATAAATCTTAAGAGCAAAGAGCTGTGAAAAGGGGATTTGGTAAAGAAACCAAGAACAAAAATATAAACATGCAAGGTTGAAATCCTCATTGAAAGATTTTAACAAATAGGGAAGGTCACTAAATCATGCTTTACAAACACCATGTGTCCTAACTTTTAGCTCTGATACCAAATAGTAAAAAAGGAATGATCATACCAATGAAAATATGAATAATGATAGGATAACATATATTATTATTTAAAAAAAAAATAACATAAAGGAAATGTGAATGATATTTTCAAGAAAACCCATCACAATTTTCATAAAGGGGGAAATTAAAATTCACCTTGCATTATCACCAAGCAACAATAACACATTAATCAACCCAATATGATTTTCCAATAGATCTCATTTATAAGCTTTCAAATGCATGCATATTGCTACTATTTTCATCGAGCGAAAAGGAAGGGATAAAATCTTTATGATTTTATGGCATAATTGATTGAAATCTTGCTTAACTGAAAAGATCCCTATTTGCAAAGCATCCAAACTTCCTTGTTTATGTTGTCAATATAAAAAAAAATGAACGAGAGGGGAAGTTGAAATCTTCATGTTGTTTTCCATAATGTTTTTCAAGCTTATTTGGAAAATTAGTGGGTTTCGTATTAATGCGATCATGGTGATTGAAATGCTCATAGATCACACCATATTTGATAAAGATAAAAATAACAAAATATTTTCATCATTTATGAATGAAAATAATATAATGTTTTTTTCATATCTGCATGATGATGATGGAAAAGATGACAACACAATAATTTTCAGCTTCAATTAATTTACTGAAAAAAAAAATTATTCAAATTTGCATGAAAATAATCAATTTTGGCCAAATTTATAATTCTAAGTATTTATAGTTGAGATATTTTTACTATTTTCTCAAAAGGAATGGTTAAACCAAGACATCAGTCAATAATTGGGATAATTAAACAAGATGATCAAGATGACGATCACATTTAGAAAGTGCCAAGTAGATTTAAGCATCAATTGACCAAATTTAATATTTGTTGAGCACTTTGATTATATGACAAAATGGCTAGTAAATTCATTCAAGGAGTTTGTCATGACTCAATTTGGAATTAACTAAGGCAGAATTAAATGGATGTATATTTGAAAGATTTCTATATTCCTTTTCTATATTCCTTAAGAACTAAGTTTTCTATATTCCTTTTCTATAATTAATATTTGACTAATGAAAGAATCACCAAAGAAATAAAATTAAAACCGTACAATAAAATTTCTCTAATTACAAATTGAAGTATAAGACTTGAGAAACTTTTAAACATAAGGATATAATATAGTAAGTATAATTATTCTTAATAAAAATTTTTAAGTATAGAAGATAGAATGCCTAAACTCTATATTTAGAGAATTTACAAGTATTTTTGAACTAGTAGGAACTCATATTTTCAGACTTCTTTACATTAAAAATTTTTAAACTCTAAGTTGGTCCCATTTACTAAATTTTTTTCTAAATTGGACGACTATATTTTTAAATCAAAATTTTAGAATATCCTAAAAAAACTCATTTACATAATTTACTTATTTTGATTTTGAAAGATTAGGTGTCACTTGAGAACAAATAACATTTTAAGTTTGGGGAATTTTGATAAACCTAAAATATGTAGCATTTATGTACACATTTTTATATCTATTTTTGAGGATATTATGTTTTAATGGAAGATATTTGTGTGTTTTTCCTTCAAGTATAATTAAATGGATGAAAAATGAGGAAAGGAGTGAAAAAGATTAAATTTGGAGAAAAAACGAAGAAGGTATGCAAAAGAATTGTGGTGTCTAAGCGCCCAAAACTGACGCTTAAGCCCCAGGATAACAAAGAAAGCCGCGCCTAAGCGCCAAGGACCTCACGCATAAGCGCCAGAAGTAGTTATTTGATGATTCAATAAATTTCGATGAATTTTTGAAGAGGTGTTTGAAACAACTCTTGGTAAAAACATAGTTTATGGTTAATGGACACGAAAATCCATTCAAATGGCTATTGAAAGGAGGCAACTCTTGAAAAATTCATTGAATGTGGACACATTTTTTAAGAGACACCACAACACCTTTTAGAAAATTATAAAAGAAAACTTGGATTGAAAGAAGAAGACTCTCAATTAGCCGTCGCCGACCCCTCTCTTAGAGACTTCTTTGTACCACTCTTATAATAGATTAATTATGATACTTTTAGGGAGAATAAAGGGAGTTGTAGTGCGTTAGTAGAGAGTATTGTAAGAGAGTATTGTAAGAGAAATGTATTGTAAGAGAAATGAAGAGAAGAGATTCAAAGAAACTTCAAAAGTTTGGTGGAGAGGAATTTGAGATAAGTTTTTATCTTTGTGATTAAATTTGATTTTAATTTAGACTTCTTGTGTGTTAACATGATTTTTTACTTTTAAACTTAAGTGTTCTTAAGTTTTCTCCATGAATTCTGGGTAGTTTTCTTTACTTTTTCTTTAAAATGATAAATAATTAAGTAATGAATGGAAGTTATGTGAAATATTGGGTCCTTAATATCAGAGTAAGTTGTGATGATTTTAATATTGGTATTTCATTTATTTCTTGATTTGGTCAATTAAAATATTAATATTTGTAGTGAGAACATGAAAGATCCGAGATGATATTATCTCAGTCCATTAATGATCAACTATGGTAGATTCACATGAGATTATATGGATGAGAATGTAATTCATATGGTTGAATGTAAATAAATAGGAAAATAAATTTTGAAGGGTGTAGAATTAGAGGACTTTAAAGTGACAGGCTAAATCCCCCAATTTGGTTTATTGTTTTCGGTTTTGATGCAAGATGTTAGCCCCCAGGTAGAGGGAAAAAAGAGAACTCAAGAGTGAGAGCTAGTATCTTCTCTACCTAACCAGTTTTCAAAACTATTCAAACTTTAAATTAACTGATGTTCTTTATAGCATCTCTAGTAAGGATAAAGAATAATATTACTCATATTTGACACAACATAATTTTAAT